CCGTTCGGGCCCCTCACCCTGATATCTACGTGTGTGTATATATATTCATGAATATATAGCTATATATATACATAAATATATACATATATTTGTATGTATATATGTTCGTAGGTATACTATGTATATATATATATACATACACATACATATCTCATTAATTTCCTAGTTGGGCCGAATGGTAATTCACTGTCCCTGGGTGCGTGGCTGAATTGAGATTCCACGATGCGGAGTATCGTTGTTGTTGATGGTGGTGGCCAGGGTTCGGCCAAGCTACCGGACCCTGTGTTCCCCAGCCATTGTGGAAACCATCCGGGAATCAAGTGGGGGAGAACGAATAGGTGAAAGAAAAATAAACAGGAGGAGGAGGAGGAGGAAAAGGCCTCTTTGGAGTCTTTTGGGGCACTCTTTGAGCCTGCTGGGAGCTTCCTGGGCGCCTCTGGTGGGCGATTTCTTGGGAGCTTCATTGGGCATGCCCGGGGCCTTTTGAGGCTCTTTGGGAGGCTCTTTGGCAGTCTGAGGGCGATCCTGGCTCGTCTGACGCCGCCGGACCGAGTTGCATTTTGACCGTCCTGAGGGGCTCGATGGGCAGAGTTGGGGCCCTCTTAGGGCGCTTCAGAGCCGTCTTGGAGGCCATCTTGGGCGTCTTGGAGGTCTCCTGGGCGGTCTTGAGGCCCTCTTGGGGCAATATCGAAGGCCTATGGGGCTCTCAGGAGGCCTCCTGGGCGCTCTTGTGGCCATCTCTGTGGCCTCTGGGACCGTCTTAGACCGTCGAGAAGCCGAACATGAACAAACACCAAAGTCCTTCGAAAACCGAATAGAGATCACAGATTTCGTCCCCGGCGGACCTTCATGGGGGTCTTCTTCGAGTCCTCTCGGGCCGCCTTGGAGGCCTCTTGCATGGTCCGTCTTGAGTTATCTTGAGGCCATCTTGGGCCACATGTGGGGGATCACCGCCCGCCTTGCAGGCATCTGGGGCCATCTTTGGGGCCCTCTTGAGGCCATCGCAGCAGCCTTGGAGACCATCGTGGCCGTCATGGAGGCCATCTTGGAGCCGTCTAGAGCGGGACCGACGACCTGGTAAGTCTACGGTTCCTCGTGGAGGCGAGTTATCCGGTTGTTCCCCCTCCTTGCGCGGCGTTTTCGGTGGCCGGCGGGCCGGGTCGAAGTCTTGGGGAGCTTAGCGAAATCACGAAAGATGTCGGAACGTTTTGCACGCCGTGCACCCCTGTTGCAAGCCACAGGGGGCGGCGGATCGAAGACGCCTACGGCAAATCACCGCCACCCCCTGCCTTTTTGGAAGCGCCTATGTGGCCGAACGTTGAGGCCAGACCTGCCAAGCTATCGGACCATGTGTTCCCCGAATCGGTTTGGAAAGCTTTCGGGAAACACGTGGGCATCTTGAAGGTCATCTTGACCGTCTGGAGGCCATTTTGACCCTCTCGGGCCTTCTTGGAGGACGTCTTGGAGGGCTGTTCTGCCGTCTTGGAGGCCACCTTGAGCGTCTTGGAGGCCTCTTGGGCCGTCTTGGGGGCCTCTTGGGGCCGTGTCTTGGGCTCTGTTGGGGGATCTTTGGGGGCACTTGGGCCGTCTCGGGCCGTCGGAAGGCAGAACAAAAAACAAATGCCACAATCCTCCAAACACCCATGGGAAATCAACCCTTTTCGGGCCTTCCTGGAGGCCCTCTTGGAGGCCTCTTGGGCCGTCTTGGGCCATCTCAGGGCCGTGTTCGGCCGTCTTGGTGGGCTCATGGTCCGTCTGACGCCGTCGGCAGCCGTTTGGGGGGCCTCTATGGGTCGACTTCGGGCCCTCTTGGAATGCTCCAGGGCCGTCTTGGAGGCCATCTTGGGCGTCGTAAAGGCCTGCTGGGCCGTCTTGGGGGCCTCTTGGGGCCGTCTTTGTGCCCTCTTGGGCCGTTCTGTTGCCATCTTGGAGGCCTCTTGGTCGATCTTTGGTGGCTCTTGGGCCGTCTCGGGCCGTCGAAAGGCCGAAAAGAAGCAAATGTCACAATCCGTCACAAGTCTTAGGAACATCAGTGTTTTTAGCCTCTTCTGGCCTTCCTGGAGGCCCCCTTGGGAGCCTCTTGGGCCAGCTTCGAGCCAACTTTGGCCATCTTGGCGGGTTCCTGGCACGTCTGACGCCGTCGGGAGCCGTGTTGGGCCGACTTGGGGCCCTCTTGCGGCGCTTCGGAGCCGTCTTGGAGGCCATCTTGGGCGTCTTGGAGGCCATCTTGGGCTTGTTGGAGGCCTCTTGGGCCATCTTGGGGCCCTCTTGGGGCCGTCTTGGAGGCCACTTGGGCCGTCATGGGGCCCTCTTGGGGGCCTCCTGGGCGATCTTGGGGGCCGCTTGGGCCGTCTTGAGCCGTCGAAATGCCGAGGATAGCCAATGATGTTGGCCTCTTCGGGCGCTCCTAGAGGACCTCTTGGAGGCCTCTTGGGCCGTCTTGGAGGCCTCTGGGGGGCCCTCTTGGGCCGTCTTGGACTCTCTTGGGCCGTCTTGGAGGCCGTCTTGGACCATCTTGGGCGGACTTGGAGGCCATCGTGGACCATCTTGGAGGCCATCTTGGGCCAACATGGCCATCTTGAGGCCATCTTGAGCCGTCTTGGAGGATTTTGTGGAGACGCTGAGGTGGTTTACGCGGCCTTCCGGGACCCCGGCGGAACGGGCCGAAGCCCCAGGGGGAGTTCTTTTGGAAAAAGAATCAAAACCGATAGGATCTAGCACGCCAGGCACCCCTCTTGCAAGCAACAAGGGGGCGGCGGATCTAGTTGCCTTGGGTCCATCCCACCACCGTGCCTGCATTGTGGGCCAGAGTCCTTGTATGCTTCGTGGGGTCTCTTCGGATGACTCTCGGGGGACCACTTTCGAAGCCTCTCGTGGGCCTCTTGGTTGGAGTTTGGAACCCTCTTGGGGCTTTTTGGAGGCCTCTTGGGGGCCTCTTGGGGCCATCTTGGGGGCCTCTTGGGGGCCTCTTGGAGCTTGGGGGGGGGCCTCTTCGGTCGGAGAGATCGAAGTATCAGTTCGCGTTCCCCTTCTGGGGCTCCTCTTGGGGCGTTCTTCGGGCCCTCCTGAGTGGTCTTGGAAGCCTCTCGAGTCCCTCTTTGAAGTTCTTTTGGAGGCCTAGTGGGAAGTCTTGGACACGTCTTCGGCCGTCTGGAGGCCATCGTGGCGTCTTGAATCGATCTATCGGCAGGGAGCCCCGGAGAAACCGCTGATGTGGGGTCGAGACCTCTTCATGCTCAATCGGGCGGGTGGTAAATTGGGGGGGGGCCTACATGGGGGTGAAGACAAGGCGCGCAGGGGGCCCTTTGAAACCCCTGTTGGAGCCAGCAGGGGCCCGAAAAGGCCACTTGAGGGCCTTGTTCGCCAACGCTCACGCAGGTCACCCCCCCATTACTCTGGGCCTCCCGGATGGGGTCGGAGTAGATGGGGCTGGAGGATCGCTCCGCATCGCCGATGCATCGGCGATGCGGCTCGATGTGGAGCCCGATGTTTTTGTTGGCGCCGACGTCGCCGAAGCATCGCCGACGTCGCCGATGCACCGTCGGTGCATCGTCGATGCATCGGTGATGCATCGGCGATGCGGCGCGATTCTCCGACCCCATCTGCTCGGACCCCCTCTAGGAGGCCTCTACTGAGGTCACCCTCCATCACCACCCGCCCGATGTCACCCTGGGCTCCGCGGGCAGAGGACTGCGAGGCGCCCGAGAGAAGCACTCCAGCTCTGGCCTCTCCGAACCGCGGGGGGCACTCGGGGGGCATCTGGGGAGGAGGTCTCTTGGGCGCTGCCTGGCGGCTCCCTCGTGGGCACCCTTTTGGGCTCATTGAGCAAGCCTCTGTGTCGGAGGAGGCAGGGGAGGGGGAGGAGGGGGAGGAGAGGAGGAGGAGGAGGTGGAGGAGGAGGAGGAGGAGGAGGAGGAGGAAAAGGAGGAGGAAAAGGAGGAGGAAAAGGAGGAGGAACAAAAGGAGGAACAAAAGGAGGAAAAGGGTGAGGGAGGAGGGAGGAGGGAGGAGGGAGGAGGGAGGGGGAGGTGGAGGAGGAGGAGGAGGAGGAGGAGGACGAAGAGGAGGAGGAGAAGGAGGAGCAGGAATGAAAACCCATACCGCTACCCTTCCCTCGTTTTCCAATGGTTTGCCTTTCTGGTGGCTGACAAAAGACACGGAATCATCTTTTGGCGCCCAAGTTGTCAAAGAAACGCGGTTGACCGAACAGCGATTCGTCTCGAAATCTTAGTCAGAACGCACCCCAGGAGAGGGCCGTGGGGTAGGGGTATCGGTATCAGTATTTTTGTACTTCCGTGTTTTCCCAATTCTGGGGGTCTACCTGGAGCTTCCCAGAAGCCTTCTCGGGACCACATGAGGCTTCTTCCGGGCCTGTTTAGGGCTTGCTGGGGCCCTCCTGGCCTCCTGGGGGCCTCTTGGAGCGGAGGGCTCGGAAAGCCGATTCGCACTCCCTCTCTAACCCCCTCCTGGGTCGTTTTTGGAACCGTCTTGGGCCGTTATGGTGGCTGCCCAGCTCTCTTGGAGCCCTCGTGGGCCGTCTTAGAGGGCATATTGGCTGTCTTGGGGCGATCTTGAGGGCGTCGGGGCCCCGAGGGCAAAACCAACTAGCCCAAATACGGAAGTAGCGCAAACGAGCACAAATTTATGATCGGCGGCGAGCGAGGGGGAAGTGATAAGGAGAAGGCTTCCTCAGAAGACGGCGGGGCTTCTCAGAAGCCCTGGCGCCTTCTGAGAGGCTTTTGTTCTGTATTCGGGGAAGGCTCAGAAAACTTCTCTGAAGGCCAGGGGACTTCCAAGCCTTCTGGGAAGGCCTCCTCCTTCTCACTTCCCCCCCTCGCTCGACGCCGATGCAAATCAATCCCAAGGCCCCCCCCCGCACTCGCCCTGCCCTTTCCTCCTCTCGCCGCTGGGTCAGTGCCCCCTTTCCGAGAGGCCGCCCTCCTCAGAAGGTCGCCGCCCCCCCCCGCGCTCCGCCCCTCCTCCTGCACGCCGCCCGCGAGGACGCCGCTGGACCCCGGCGCGCGCGCGGCAGCACCTGGCGCCGAGGGGCCAAGCTCAGAGGCCTGCAGTGAGCGGCGTGAGTAAGGGACACTTTACTTTTCAAAAGGGGCTCGGTCGTTCCTAAGGCTTGCATGCGTTCTTTATCGTTCCAATGCGTTATTTATGATTTGCTCATCGTTCCCTATGCGTTATTCCTTGGAAGACAGGGGCTTCGTTCCTTATTTATCGTTCCTTAGGTCAGGCCGATGACTGTAGAGGGGTGCCGAGGGGCCAAACTCAGAGGCCCAGAGGTTGGCACCAACACTCACATCGGCGGCGTGCTCCGCCAAGGGAAGATGGATCCTGATCTCGGCGGTGGTGGTAAGAGTCGGGCTTGCAAGGTGGCCGGAATATTGCCACCAGAACCACAATCTAGGATCAGCTGCCCCCGGTTGAGGCAGACCCTGGCGTTGGTGTTGGTGTCCATGTCCGCGCCTCCTACAAAAGTTTCCCAGACCTCGCGACTCCTGGCGTGGTGGTCACCACCCACCAAACCACCCCAACCCAACCCGAAGGCTCAGATTTACCCTCGATTTCCAGTGGGGGGGGGGTCGGGAAACATCGAAAAAACACATGTGGAACCCGTACCCCCCCCAACCCGAAATTCGGGTTTCCGGGTTGGGTTTGGGTGGTCTGGTAGGCAGTCAGGTGGAGATGGTGCCCCAGGAGACCCCCAGCAAAAGGCGAGAACCAGGAGAGAGCAATGGCATCGGTACTCGTGCTTGCCTCGTCTGAGGTGCGCCGACGTCGTGGGGCTCACGGGGAACACGGAGTACACCTTCCGCGCGCGGGGCTGTTCTGCGGGCGGCTGCGGCGCGTGGTCGGAGGCGCCGCCGACGTCGCCGCGTTCGTTGTCGTCGTCGTCGTCGTCGTCGTCGTCGTCGTCGTCGTCGTCGTCGTCGTCGTCGTCGTCGTCCGTCGTCGCTGCTGGCAGCGGCGGCGCGTCGTCATCGCTGCCGGCGTCGGACCGTCGTCGTCGCTGCTGCTCCCCGTTGTCGCTGCCGCTCGTCGTCGCTTCCGCTCGTCGACGCTGCCGTTCGTCGTAATCGGCGCCGCTTGTCGTCGCTGCCGCTCGTCGTAATTGCCGCCGCTCGTCGTCGCTGCCGCTCGTCGTCGTCACTCGTCCTCGTCGTCGGCAGCGGCTGCGCGTGGCTGGAGGCGTGCGCCTTCTGGACGTCGGAGCTGCCCGGCGAGCCGACGAGCGGCCGGTGCGCGTCCCGAGCGACGGCGTCGGACCAGCTGGGCCTCGAGTGGCGGATCCCGGATCCAGAGGGTGCCGAGGTTCCGCGGGCGGACGGCAAGGGGTGGTGCTGGGGTGGGGGAGCAATGCACAAGGGAGGAGCAAGAAGTAGAAGGGGCCTTCGGGGGCCCCCATCTGCCACCGCGGGCCTCAAGCAAAAACCCGCGAAAGGTGCACGTTCCTGTTCCCCACGTTTCCCCTGCGGTCGTTGACAGTGTGTGTGTGTGTGTTTGGGTGCCCAGATCCCATCTCTACGTTAGGCGCCCTTCCACTTCAATAATCCAGCGGTTTTCCCCCCCCCCCCCCCTCCTCTTCGGGGGTGGGCAGAACTTCAGTCGGCTTCCAACGCCTTCCTGCTTCATGTCTCTACACACTTCTGCCGACCGACGGGCACTCCCCCCGCGGGATGACGCGGCACCTTTCTGGCCAGACTCGAGGCGGATGCAGCCGTGGACGTGAGGGGGCCAGCCGAAATGGGAAGACGGACTTTCGGAGCGCCGCGCGGATTTCTCGGGTCGGTGCGCGGAGGGCAGCGGGGTCCAGCGCCGACCTCTGGAAGTCGTGTTGGTGTGGTGCTGCCGTGTTCTGGCAGAGCTCGAGCTTGATCTCCGAGGTTCAGGAGACAGGGCGTGTACGTTGTCACCTCTTCTCCCTCGTTTTCGGTTTTGCCACCATGAGGGTCAGAGGTCCTGCGGAGGGGCCCTGTAGGCTTCTCGCTGCTGGTGGGCAGCCTGGGGCCGTCAACAAGCGACTCGGGAAGGAGAGCTGGTCCTGGGGATCGAGAGCCCCAGTTTCCAGAGCACGTGTCCACCAGGACTCCCTTTCCAGCTAGCAGAAACATACCGGGTCGGGTACCCTACTCTCGTCTTCGCCTTTCGCTTCCCACAGCTGGATTGGCGACGCGACTCTTGGTCAGAACGCGCACGGGAGAGGTCCTCGTTTAGGGAAGCAGCGGCAGCGTTATATCCACCATCTCGCTGAGGATGGAATTCCTGAGAGGCTGATTCCAGCGTCGGTCACGCTGACTTCCGCTTCATCGTGCTCGATCCGTCTTACTCTTCGGCTTGATCGCGACCATTTCAGCTTACTAGCCCCTTAAGCGGGCCTAGTAGCCCTGAATCGTTCCCACGAAGACCCCCCAGAAGTTGCCGGTCCCCACAAACGGCGCGGTGTGGTGACCACGCTGCGTGGTGAGTGGTGTGGTGACCACACCGCGTGGTGAGTCAATGGGGATTCGGGGTCTCCACGCGGTTTTGGGACTTGTGTGTTGCTCCCATGACGTGTCCAGCGAACGTGGTATCCGAGGTCCCAAGACTGTGTGGTGACGGACCGCGTGGTGAGGTTTCTTGGGATTTCGAGGTCGCCGCGCGGTCCGTCACGACACGGTTGTGGGACCCCTGGCTCAGGTGCTGAGCTGCGAGGTGGAGGTCGCCACCACGCTGAGCTGGCGGAGGCCACAGTTTCTGCCGAACGGCGAGCCCCGGCGCGGTGACGGGGGCCAGTGGTCGCTGGGGGCGTTCAAAGGGGGGTAGGAGGAGGGGATTGGGGGGCATAACGGCACCTCGCCTTCTTAGGTTTTTCAAGCTTCTCTTGTTCTCTCTCTCTCTCTCTCTCCCTCTCTCTCTCTTCTCCCCTCTGTGGAGGACGCTCATATTGATTCCCTTTTGTGCGAGGGGGTACAAGTTGATTCCCTTTGTGGTGGTTGCAAAATGATTTCCTTTGTGGGGGGCTACACACTGATTCCATTTGTGGCGGAATTGCAAATCGATTCCCTGTGTGAGGTTTACAAATATAGTCCCTTTGTGTGAGGTGGTACAGATTGATTCCTTTCGTGGCGGAGGAGGGGAAGGTCTGGCCCTGGGGGGAAAGGCCCGAGCAAACAAATGTGTTGGCCTGTGTGTGGATATCATGGCCGGGGCCACGAGATCTCCCAGATGTCGCTCTCCCCCCTTTCCTCTTCTTTCCGCACATCCCAGTCGTCGCGGCTCAAGCCTCTGGCCATAATGCGCTGATCCCCCTGGAGGAGGAGGAGGAGGAGGAGGAGGAGGAGGAGGAGGAGGAGGAGGAAGAGCAGCAGGAGGAGGAGGAGGAGGAGGAGGAGGGGTAGCAGGAGGGGGACGAGGAGGAGGAGGAGGAGGAGGAGGAGGAGGTCCGCGTAGTTATTTTGGCTCAAGCCGCTCACCAGCGAGCACAGCCCCGTTGCTCAAGCTTGTGGGTCACAAGCTGCTGGGAGTCGCCGCTTGCTGCTTGAGGAATGGCTCGGGACGGGATCCCATTCTGGGGCTCGGAATCGAACGCAGAGCGGTCTGCTGCGTGTTGGCGTGCTCGGGAGGCGGTCGATGCGGCCGTCGCCAACCGACGCGTTATTGTGCCTGGCTCCAGAGGCGATGAGTTGAGGCGCTGGCTGCAGCTCATCATGCCAATGCTCGCCGCTGGCATCGCGGGCGTTCGGATCGCGGGTAGTGCGCGCCAGCCAGGCGCAACCTCAAGCCTGTTGTTGATATCGTTTATTCCGGGCCGATGACGGTCGTCATGGGAGGAGGGGGTCGATGACATCATTTCGTGCAGGCCTCGTCTGGGCATACCTAAGAATGACCGAGGATTGGTAGCAGCAGCATGTAGGGCGCGATTTGCACCACAGCACCTGTTTGCACCACATCGCCTGCGTACACCACAGAAGCCTCGTGCAACACAGCACCAGTGTGTGCCACAGTGCCTGCGTGCACTACAGCGACCGTGTAGAGCACAGCGCCTGCGTACACCGCGGCATCCGTACGCAGCATATCACCAGCATACAGCACAATGCCTGCGTGCACCACAGCGCCAGAGTACACCACGGCGACCGTGTGCACCACAGCAACCGCGTGCAACAGAATACCATTATTGAATATGCAATTTCAGAAAGCATCCTTATGGCAAAATGGAGAGCCTGTGGGGCTTCACAGAAAAATGAATATATATTTGATTTGGAAAGGAATCCGCATCATAAAAGAAGCGCCGATGGAATAGAGACGAGTCCTCCCGAGTCCTCTCGCATCGTCCTAATTCCTCCCATCTGCTTCCAGGAGGCTCCCGCAGAATTGGCCGTCCGAGAACCAAGTGGATTAATTCAATTGACCTGTCTGCGGTGCACACTGCATGCGTGCACGCATGCGCTGTGGTGTACATCAGCGCTGCGTTGCACGCGGATGCTGTGGTGCACGCAAGCATTGTGATGTACACAGGCGCTGTGTTTTACATGGTTGCTGCGGTGTACGCCGGTGGTGTGGTGTCCACAGACGCTGTGGTGCACGCAAGCACTGGTGTACACAGGCGCTGCGTTGCACATTGCTGCTGCGGCGTACGCACGCGGTGTGGTGTACACGCGCGTTGTGGTGCACGCGAGCACTGTGGTGTACCCAGGCGCCGTGGTGCACGTGGGCATAGTGGTGTGCACAGGCGCTGTGGTGCAGATCGCTAAACATGCTGATCGTACTTGGCCTCGGTCCTCCCCAAGCTTTCCTGGACGCCGCCGGCGCGGAGCGTGGCGTCATCCGGGGAGGGGGGAAGCGGAGCCGATGGCGGCCGCCCGCTATCCTGGAACAAAAACCGAAGGCTCCTGGCAGCGCCGTCGAGGTCATCGAAGGAGATTTGCAGCGGGAGCGCAGCCAGCTTTGGCGACAAGGGCGCTCGGGCTCGGCGTCTTCGGCGGTCGGAGCTGCTGGTGGAGCAGGCGTGCTTCGTAAAAGCGCTGCCGAGTTGGTGCCACGTGCGGGCCGCTGTGGGCCGCTGCCCGATGCCCCCCTTGGGCGCTGGGCCTCGCACGGCCACGGCCGCTTGCGGTGCACCTGCGGGCATCTCGCTTTCTCCTGTGCGGAACCAGGCAGGTCCGAAGCGTACGCGGGGCCAGAGCTTGTGGGCTGGCATGCCGCTGGCGTCAGACTTCCCTCTTGCGGAGCGCCCCCCCCCCACCCGCAAAGGACGGCCCTGTGGGTTGGCAGGGCGCAGCTGCGAATGTGACCTCCCTATCGG